TTTTTTTTTTTTTTTTTTTTTTTTTTTTTTTTTTTTTTTTTTACTTTATGGAATTTCAGTGCACTATTCAACCTCCAGAGGGTGCTCCAATGTAAAACCAGGTCTCTTTATTGGTTTATTATCTGTCTAAAACTGTAATACTGAGGGTTTTTTTTGTTTGTTTGTTTTTTTTTTATCAACAAATGGCTGTGGAATGGGATTCCCTGAAACACAGGATGCCTCTAAACTTTAAAAGATATCCAAAGCTTTGTAAACAAATAGGGGAAGTTCTTGTTTTTATTCTAACATCATAGTATGTTGTTTGGGGAAGGCTGTCATAGTTCTCACCTCCAGCTTTTCTCGTGCAATGGGAAAAAATGTCTTTTCATTTATGACACGATAATTGTTGAGTCCCAGAAAAATACTGTGTATAACGAATCCTGTATATTAAGTAAATACACTGAGTTTAATCAGAAATTGTTTGACATTAAAGGCAACGCTAATCTAACTAAATGTAAAAAAAAAAGCTACTATAATGTTCTGCCTGTCAACACAATACCTAAAATAAGCATGTTTGTTATTTTATGCCTCAGATGGTCCAACATTCTCAACCGCTTTCTAGAGTACAATGTACTAAATTAAAGACCGTTCATTACAGAATTAAAGAAGAAATGTAGTTTACAGTAGAAAAAAAAGCCATTTGGCAGAGGTGCATCCTAAAGAAACAAAGAAAATCTACATGAAATGAACTATCATTAAGGTTAGTGTGAGGTGTCATGTATTCAATTAGCACAGCATCTAATGGGACATACTTTTCAGCATTTTTTATTTTAATCATTTGCAAAAATAGTGATATTTTTTTCAGGAAATAGAACAGGTTATATTCAAGTCCTCATTTGTTTAGAAAATATTTGAAAAAATGATCAATTTGTTAATAAATAAGGGCATTTTTGTGTTCATAATATTAAGGTCAAATGGTTGCATGTCTACTGTCCAAAGATTAGTTTTGTCCAGCAGTTATACCATGGTCTGAGGAATATGTTCAAAATAAGAGCTAATCATTTCTACTAAAAGAGCAACTCCTGTACAGGTGCAATGGCATCTGGGTTTGGTTGAACTCTTGTATCAAAAGTTTAAAATTGCTTCAATCCAGAGCTGATGGCTAGGTTTCGATAAGGACTTCCCCAAAGCAAATCCAAAGTCAATAACAGATTCTCAGTAAATGTCTGTATTCAGTTTGTTAGTTTTTATTTTTTCTAATTTTTGGGGGGGTCTAAATGATATGCAACTGTTATCCAATTGACATGTTTCTTAAGGTTGTTTTAGATTTCTGTCCATTTGATTTGTGTCACAACCTGAGCTCTCAGGGACAAAATGTTTTTTTCTCAGTTAAAAGAACTCATGTGCTCAGGCTTGTTATACTTATCAAAGCAGTTTCATTGTGTATAATAGTTGACATTGATATCTGTGGCTTGTACCTTCTGTTGTTGCCTTTCTCTGCAGCCGAGTGTAAATCTATCAGGTAAACTCACATTGCATTACTAATAATAATGCAATGAAATTGCTGTTTTATTTTTCAATAAATTTTGGTAAAACTTTTGCTTCTTAATGTATTATGTTTTTACACAATGCAATGTCAAAAGCATCAAACGTCACAGTGCATTTTAGTATCTGTTTTACTGTGAATATTGCTCTTGTTACTTCATTGCTAGTTTTGTTTTCACACATTTGTGATGCAAATAGAGGGAAAAATAGCTAATGTCTTAATGTGAGCCATTATTTAATGCAAACAAATACTAAATTATGTTCTTTGGTGTCGGTTTTGTGTTTAAACCCCTAAATAAAATTGACACCTTCCTTTTTTAGAAGTCAGCAAATGAGTTAATAAATTCTGTTCTTAACTCAGTGTGAACCCTAACATTAGTGAAAAAAGAGCATTATGGAGACAAGGGAAGGCAACTGAAGTGGCAGGAATAAAGTTGTTGGGAAGTAATATTTTGGCATCTCAGTGCACAGTTCAATCAATCATCTAAAGAAGGAGAATTATCATTCATTATGCATTTTGGATTTTTTTGTAGTGCAGCAAAAAGAAAACTATTTGTAAAAGAAAGTCATTGGAAGGACAAACCTGGACAACATCCTACAGAGAATCTGCAGCAAAAATCATTGTTCACAGGTGTTAACCATCTTGTTTGATTAAACCTAAGCGAATTTGTCAAGAAAAATGTGCACAAAGTTCAGTGACTTAATTAGCATAGTAAGTAGAAAGATATATTTAATATTAGAGACTAGACTTTTATCTCACTGATGGCGTCCTTAAAAAGAGAGACCAGTAACAAGGATTTTAAGTACATCACTATAATCATATAGTATCGTATTTTCTTTCCTTGAAAGAGGGAAAAGAGATTAAAAAATTAACAACAGGTTTAAAATTATTATTTTTCAGTTTAATTTACACATATACTGAAAATGCCAACATTC